GCTGGGCCCCGGCTCCCGCTCCTGTGAGATACCCTGGCAGCTTGGGGACAGGTGGCGGCTGCGGGCACTGCAGCGTTTATTATTTTTTAAACACATGGTTGTACTTATTTCATTTTTTTTAATAATGCAAGTCACCGGTAGTGCAGCTGTGCAGAATCAGAGCATGTATATAGCAGGTCCCACACCATGCACGGACACCATGCACGGGTGTACAAATGTCGCTTCTCACCTGTACAATATATACATATATCTATATTTTTAATTCTAGCGCTGAAAGCCACTGTTCCAAACCCGATGTTAGGGGGTTTGGCCCTGTTTTGTTTTGGGGTTTTTTTTAAATACTTTTAGCCCTCTGCTCAGTCCTAGGGCCTTGGCCACAACCCAAGGCCTGGGCTCGCTCAGCAGCGGTGTGCTCGGGTGGAAGCACTTTACGGATCCGAGGGGCTCCCAGCTGGGTTCCGAGGTGGTGGCGGCAGCGACGGAGGGATGCAGGAGGAGGGCAGGGCTCTGCCGCTGCTGGCTCGCCACCTCCCTTCCCCAGGGCAGCCACCCTTCAGCTCGCAGGCAGTTGGTAACGCTGTATTTCCTTGCTTCTCCGCCTCCGACTTGGACAGGAAAGTGCTTTCTTTTAAATGCCAAGATTCAGTAATTAAAAGGCAACGTTCCTCCGTGAGCAAAAGCTGGGGCTACCTGCGGCACTGGGGCCAAGCCACTGGTTCGGGTGGGGACAGGGGCTGGAGCACTGCAGGGCTGCGGTAATTGCCCAGCACAAAGCTCGTTAACTAAATCCCGCAGTTCGGTATTTCTTTGAAAAAGCAGCAAGGGAGCCAGCGCGCGAGGCAGGAGGAGGAAACACGTGTGGCGCAGGGGAGGCAAGCCAGCCCTAGCAGCGGGCACCGCCGCGGCAGCCCGTGACGCACCCCTAAGCTGTCCCGCTTCGCTGCTGGCGCGCTTGTGAGTAGCGTCCAGTTCCCACGCCTTGCTCCAAAACTGCAAGCACCCAGCGATTCCGCTCCGGCGCGGCAGGGCAACATTACGCGATTGAAGAGCACACACGGACCTCCGCACCCTCCTTCGTGCCTGCCCAGGACTGCCCCCCCCAGGACCCCAGAGACTCCGTTGCGGACCACTGCCTTAAAACACGCTGGTAAGCGTGCGCACGCGGGTAGAAAGATGGGGCCTGTGGCCAAATTCGGGCATGCTGTGCCCAGGCAGCGCTTGCGCTGACCAACCCCGAGGCATAGGTGCCTCTGGCAGTGCTGAATTTGCACCACGGACTGCAAATAAGGGGGGAAAAAAGTCCTGCGGAGTAAGTGCAAGGTTTGAAGCGGTGCTGAGTGCCTCGCAATCCCACCGAAATCCATAGAGAAAGGGTTGGAGAGGGGAAACTAGGAACCGCAACAGGTTGGTTATCCTGCAGCGCGGCTGAATCCATTTGCTCCCCAGCGCCCAGAGTTACAGCAGGGAACGCAGGGTGAAGGCACATGCGGAACTCTGCCCCGCAGGAGGGGGACAGGGACGGTCACCGCAGGCTGTCGCTGTCGACTCCAGTACTCTGTAACCTATCGTCTATGTAAGAACAATGAATGTTAACACGGTAAATTATTATTACATTAAAAAAAGACCACAAAAAAAAAAAATGCTCTGCATCTGCAACCTGTTCATTGCTAAGAGGGGAATGGCCGGGTGATGGCTGTGGCAGGGGAGCAGCCTGCGGGGGCATGGGGCGGCAGGGCAGCCCGCCAAGGGGAAGGGTTTGGGGCAAGTGTGGAGCTGCCGGGAGCGCCGGCCCTGGAGGAGCCGCTGGAAGCCAAGCGGGGAGTCCCAGCAAGCCACTTACGCTTTAACACCCATCCAAAAGGAAGCCAGCAAGGCTGTGAACAAAGAAATGAGGAGCAGCACCAAATCACTGCATAATATACACACTTTATTTATGAATTTGTATGTATACAGACTTTCTATACACACATTACCTATATAATAAAAATGTACATGTGTATACATGGTCGTATAAATATAGAACTGTAGAAATCTTAGAACGGATCCTGTCTATTCACAGCAACTCCTCCTGTGGGACCGCTTTGTTCGAGTAGCCGTCATTTGGGACTTGGACAAAAGGGGCAAGTGTCATTTGTGTTGGTTTGTGCCCAGAATTTGATGCACTGGAAGAGAGAGGATTAGTCAAGAGCCACTGGCACAACTCAAAGGCGCTGCAAACAGCGTGGCATTACTTCTCCAGACTGGTGCTGGCAAGGGCACTCATTTTAAGGGATGGTCTCTTTTGCTCCTTCGCGACAGCCTCCATCACAAGGTCGCCTTGTGGAGGGAGCCCTCTTCAACCTAGCAGGATCATCGGCCCCGCCTCAAGACATGGTTTTCCATTTCCTCGGCAGTTGCTGGAGGCCCCAGTGCCATTGGGATGAGGGGTTCGCCTACACAGGGGAACCACCGCCAGCACCGCCAGACGAGAAAGTCTCCTGCTTCCCCCCAAGAGCTCCTGTGCGCAGCCCCGCAGCGCCCAGACACCCGGGTGACGGTGGCAGCTCTCCCCATCGCCCTGTACTCTGGATCCTCCCAGACCATCACGCTCCAGGAAGGCCAAAGGCCAGGATCTAACCCTCCTCGCAGTGAGCCCAGGAATAAGGACAGCCTGTTCCTAAAGCCACCACCGGGGTGGCCCAGCTAAAGTTATGGGAAGCAGGGGGGCGGCAGGATGCGGAGTTGTTTATTGATCGCACCCTTCTCCTGGCAGGATCTCGGGACAGGTCCCAGGATCTTGCTACCTGCGCCCAGAGCCCCCGGGAGGGAATCGGCGCTTGGAACCATCACAATAGAACCCAAGAGCGGCACGCAGCGGGGAAGTTCACTCACCTCCTTGTGCAGCACGTGGGAGCAGGCCATGGGGTGAAGGTCGCCAGGCTGCACGAGCTTCTGGCACATGAGACACAGCTTACAGGCAGCCGGGCTCTGGGACGAGCAGCGAGGGAACAGAAAGGAGACAGGCACGAAGTCAGACACCCCAGCTCAGATCACATGTATTCCACGTTCCAGCTACTCGTCCTGCCAGCTGCAGCCATGGTTTGCCCCATTCCTCCCTCTGCACACAGCTGTCGCACGACGTTGGAGCCTCCCACACCTCTATTGCGGCTGTTTCCATCTTCCCCAAAGTGAAGCACGAAGGATCCATGCCCCTAAGCCTTCCCCTCTACCTCACCAGCCTGAGCAGCTGTGTGAGGAGAGAGGCCCCAGCTTCACCAGCTCATCCTTTTGGCCACTCCTCAAAGGTCGGGCTCCCTCTCTCCCTCCCTCCGCTTTCCCTGGGGAGGGCGAAGCGCTCCAGGAAAGCCAAAAAGCCTTACGTGTGACGCCGTTCCAGGGTAAGCCACCTGGGCCGGGGGCAGGAACATGGGTGTGCTGATCTGAGGCAGCGGAGCGGAGAACATGGGGGCCCTGATTCGGCTGAGAGGCTGCAGCAAGGCAAACAAGGCACATCAGAAAAGCGCAGATGAAAAGGACGCCCGACTTACCCCACATCACCTTGGGGAAAACCGGCCCCCCCACCGCTCGCCCACCTGAGCTCCGGCCGCTGCCCGCTCCTGCTGCTCCGCCAGCTTGGCCGCCACCAGCTGATTCAGCTCCTCCATTGTCCGACC